TGTGTGTGTGTGTATTAGTGTGTGTGTGTGTGTGTGTTACTGTGTGTGTGTGTGTGTGTGTGTTTTAGTGTGTGTGTTACAGTGTGTGTGTGTGTGTGTTACAGTGTGTGTGTGTGTGTGTGTGTGTGTGTGTGTTACAGTGTGTGTGTGTGTGTGTGTATTAGTGTGTGTGTTACAGTGTGTGTGAATGTGTGTGTGTGTTACAGGTGTGTGTGTGTGTCTGTGTGTGTTACAGTGTGTGTGTGTGTGTGTGTGTTACCGTGTTGTGCAGCCCCGTTCTCATCAGTTGAGGTTCCTGTAGAAACAAACAGGTTACAGTTCCTCCTCTGTCCACTAGAGGCTGAGAGAGAGTCACTGTTCCTTTAATGAGCAACCACAGATTACAGATCACAGCTGCTGGGGTTTATGGGTAATGTAGTACAGTATCATAGCCACTATAACCTCCAGCAGAACCATTATCTGTATCTGAACACTGTGTGTGTGTGTGTGTGTGTGTGTGTGTGTGTGAGAGAGAGAGCATAGGTGGACACGCAGGTGACCTCTGACCTCTGAACTCTGGCTGGACTCTGAAGAAACTGATGATGAAGAGGAGGAGGAGGAAGAGGAGGATGATTTCTGTTGACCCACATGAGGAGTAGGAGAGGGCTGCAGACACACAGTTACTTTATATACAACGTCTCTATAAAGATATTTACAGTGTAAACAATGATCAATAAATATAATCCAATAATCAGCAGAGTGCTGTTATTATTGGATTGTTATTATTTTAATGTTAAAAGTTATAGAAGTGTAATAAAAGTCATTATCTGTGAGATTACAGTAATTATTGCTGTTTACACTGATAACAACTGTATTTGGACAGTTTACCTTATACACTGATAAACAACATTTATTCTACTTCCATCATTATACAACATATCTGTCAGTTAACTCACTAATACATTAAAGTTACACAACTAATACTTTATTTACTTTAATGTCACTGATTTTATATCAGTTTATTAATTATTAACAGTTTGATCTATTAAATAAAGAATAAAAACAATAGATCTGCTAAATGTATTTTAATATTTTTTATAAGAAAAAAGGACATTTATTGATTATTGTTGTTATATTTTAGTAGCATTAGTACATTTACAGAATAGTTATTATTATTAATATTTCCACATTAAATGAACCTGTAAACATTGATCTGTACTCACTGCTGTCGGAGCCACTTGTTGAAGCTGAAGGCTGCTGTGTTCCCATGGCAACTGCACACACACACACACACACACACAGTGTTATTGATCGCTCAGATTCTCGCACTAATAAACTGATCACAGATAATCAATCAATAACCTTACAGCCTGGTTCTGATCCAGCAGACAGACCGTCAGCAGAAACACCCACATCCTGGAGAGAACTGGTCCCACTGGTTCCACTAACTGGTTCCACTATCTGGTTCCACTAACTGGTTCCACTAACTGGTCCACACTGGTCCACACTGGTTCCACTAACTGGTTCCACTAACTGGTTCCACTAACTGGTTCCTCTAACTGGTCCATACTGGTCTGGGGGTTTTGAGTTTTATTGTCTCTTCAACAGGAAGTGACCCGTCACCAGCTCCTCCTGTGTGCCCGCCCCCCTCCCACTGACAGCCACCATCAACAACAACAATTCAATTCAGTTCTATTTGTATAGAACCAATTCATAACAGCAGCATAACTAAGGGATGGTTCAGGACTCACCTGATCCAGCCCTAACTATAAGCTTTATCAAAGAGGAATGTCTTAAGCCTACTCTTGAATGTGGTGAGGGTGTCTGCCTCCCGAACCACAACTGGAAGCTGGTTCCACAGGAGAGGAGCTTGGTAACTGAAGGCTCTGGCTCCTGTTCTACTTTTAGAGACTATAGGAACCACAAGTAGCCCAGCATTCAGAGAACGTAGTGTTCTAGTGGGGTAATAGGGTACTATGAGCTCTTTAAGATATGAAGGGGCCTGACCATGAAGAGCTTTATAGGTGAGGAGGAGAACAACAACAACAACAACAACAACAACAACAAGGGTGATTTATATATGTATATATAGTTCAGTGTGTAGGGAGCCAGTTTCACCTCCTGTGCACTGCCGAGGTTCTCTTTAGCCTCTGAGGCAACCTCACCCCAATAAACTGCTAACGTGGCAGCTCCTCACTCCACCATCTCTCCATGTTGCATGTTCACATGTGAATAAGCGTGTATTTCAGCTTGTGTGTGTGTGTGTGTGTGTGTGTGTGTGTGTTGTGTGTGTTGTTGTGTGTGTGTGTGTTACAGTAAATATTCTGTATTAATAAACTGTAAATTAGAGTTTAAGTTACTGCATTACAGTGTATTATTTATTTATTGAATAACTGTATTTATGTATGTAATAACTGTATTTATGTATTTAATAACTATTTATTTATGTAATAACTGTATTTATTTATTTATTAACTGTATTTATTTATTTATTAACTGTATTTATTTATTTAATAACTGTATTTATTTGTTTATTTAATAACTGTCATTATTTAGGTAATGATTGTATTTGTTTATTTAATGGCTGTCATTATTTAGGTAATGATTGTATTTATTTATTTAATAACTGTATTTATTTATTTATTTAATAACAAAAGAAAGCGAAAGCACTGGTCGGAAGACTAGAAAGGCGCTATACAAGTACAGGGCCATTACCATTTAACTGTATTTATTTATTTAATAACTGTATATATTTATTTAATTACTGTATTTATTTATTTATTAACTGTATATATTTATTTAATTACTGTATTTATTTATTTATTAATTAATTGTATTAGAACAATGACAAAGTATCAGGGAGAAACAAACATTATAGATTTAATATGTTTATAATTAATTTATAAATGCAGTAAAAGTTGATGATAAAGTAACATGAAATACTCGATTACTCTCAGACTATTGTAACTATGATATATAATGAGTGTCGTCCCGTCCTGGAGGTCGAAGGCGTCCACATACTCAGCTGTGTTTATGAGTGAGGAAGAGGAGGTGAGGAGGAGGAGGAGGAGGAGGAGGTGAGGAGGGAGGAGGAGGAGGAGGAGGAGTCTGTGGTGAAGCAGCCGACAGTAAACACATTTCACCATCAGCAGGATTTACAACTTTATTGATATCGTCCACAGAAACAACAACGGCAGTGTCACATGGTCGGTTCTGATCCATTACAGTGTTCTTATGGAGTTACACTGACCAATCACAGCTCAGCAACAGTTACTATAGCAACAGCAGCCGCCAGTGTGATAGAGGAACCGTTGCTCCAGCAGCGTTCAGGATGCTGTTATTGATTATTGATCGATCAGAACTGAGTATAAAGGTAACGTGCTGATGGCGAGTAAACCCTGTTGAACCTCCGCTACCAAGGTAACGGTTTCCTCGCTGCTGCCTTCCTCTTCATCTTCATCTTCATCTTCACCTTCCTCAGTGTCCTTTACAGAACCTTCCTCTTCATCTTCACCTTCATCTTCACCTTCATCTTCACCTTCACCTTCATCTTCATCTTCATCTTCCTCTTCCTCAGTGTTAGTTCAGCAGTCCCTGACTGTCAGTGCTCTGAGAGTCGATCCCTGAACCCAGTCCTGGAGAGTCCGGTTCAGACCCAGAGTCCGGTTCAGACCCAGAGTCTGATGAATGAGACCTCTCTGGTTCAGCCTCTGTTGGTTGAATGGGAGGAACGGGTGAGGAAACCTGAAGAGGGGAGGACGAGGAGGCCGGAGCCACCAGTACCTCCCCGCTGCTGGAGCTGACCTCTGGACTATGGACTTTGGACTTCATGGAACCCACAACCTCTGGTGCACCAACAGATTCCTCCTCAGAGCTGTCAGAGTTCGGACTCACCTCGTCCTGAGCGACGGACCCGGTACTCCTCCAGGAGCCAGCAGCGTGATCCTGAACGGACTCAGCAGAAGAGTCTGGAACCTGTCTTCTGTCTGAGCTTGTTGTGGGACCAGTAGCTTGCTGATTGGAGTCTCTAGACCCGGTGTCCTGCTGGATCCTGGCGCCGGTGTCCTGCTGGGTCCTGGAGCCACTGTCCTGCTGGATCCTGGAGCCTGTGTCCTGCTGGATCCTGGAGCCTGTGTCCTGCTGGATCCTGGAGCTGGTGTACTGCTGGATCCTGGCGCCGGTGTCCTGCTGGATCCTGGAGCTGGTGTACTGCTGGGTCCTGGAGCCGGTGTCCTCCAGGCTCTCATTGCTGTCGTGATCTGAACCTGCCTGGAGTTTTGGATCTGAGCTGTTTTTACTAAAAGTCTCTGAACTCCCATCAGAGCTCAAAGTAAAACCTTTCTGACGATCAGGGAAGACTTTGGGAGTAGAACCCAGAACCTTGTGCTGGCTACCCTTCACCCCCTTCACCCCCTGGGTGCCTGAAAGCAGATCCAGAACCTCCTGGATGGAGTGAAACCCGTCCTGGAGTCTGGAACTGAACCCCAAATTCTTGCTGATGCTACCCCTGCTGGAACCAGCTGCCCGGTCCTGGTAGACCGGACTGGTGTCCTCCTGAGAACCTACTGGTGCTGTTCTGGTGATCTGGACTTAGACCCTGATTGAGTCCAGTGACCTCTGAGGACCAGTTGTTAAAGTCATCAGGAAACATCAGTTGATCCCTCATCATGTGACCGTCGTACTCTTCCTTTATTGGCTGAAGGTCCCGTTCACTGCTGACATGACGTCATCGCTCTCGCTGCTGTCGCTGTTGTTGTCTGATCTGGGAACAAACAAACAAACAAACAAACAAATAAATAAATAAATAAATAAAGGATGAGAAAGGTCGTCTTTTACCTTCCTCGTCCGTCGGTCCCACTCCCGTCCTCCTCTTCTTCAGCGAAGATGAAGATGGCGGAGCTCAGTGTGATGTTTGTGTTTGTGTCCTCGACCTCTTCGACCACACTGGGCGGGGCTTCTGGTGCGGTGGGCGGGGTTTGAGGGGAGGCCACTCCCACCGCTGGAAACACAGCAGGAGGCTGAACGACAACAAAGTTTAAGTTTTTATTCTGAAGTCACATTACAGACGTTTGTTTGTGTGTTTGTTTGTTTGTTTGTTTGTTTGTTTGTTTGTTTGTTTGTTTGTTTGTTTGTTTGTTTGTTTGTTTGTTTGATCTGTGAACTTTTTAAAATTTCTTTAAATAAAAATGTTTTTCTACCTGTGAAAATGTCTTTTAATCTGTTTTTACTGAAGTAAAACTTTGAATTTGTCTTTCACGTCACGGTGTGTGTGTGTGTGTGTGTGTGTGTGTGTGTGTGTGTGTGTGTGTGTGTGACCTGTAGATGTGAGGAAGAGGCTGATGAAGAGTGTGTGAGTAACTGTAACTATAGTTTGTGTTCACTGTTTAATGCTGGAGGCTTCATACAGCTGCAGTCTGTTCACTCTCATTACAGCTGATATTAAACTCACAGAGACGTCTGATTGGCTCAGTCCTCTATACATACATACATATATATATATGTATATATATATATATATATATGTATGTATGTATGTATACTATTTAAATAATAATACACTGTTTATTAAATATAATATACTGTTTAGTGAATAACTAAAATAAACAAAGTGTATATTTACTGTTTGTTTGAGTCATTGTGGAGAAACAGAAGCAGTAAATCTGACTGAAACTCTGTGGTTGCTGTTACACAAACATCCACTGAGTGTGTGTGTGTGTGTGTGTGTGTGTGTGTGTGTGTGTGTGTGTGTGTTTGTGTCTGTATTTACAGTCTGTGGTTCAGGCTGCAGATAAACAGTGTTTTACATTCAACACACTGATTTAGAACAGGCTGGAAACAACACACACTCACACACACACAGACACACACACACACACACACACACAGACACACAGACACACACACACACACACACACACACACACTCACAGACACACATTTTAAATGAACACTGTTCTCTGCATGAGACACAACAATCTGACAGAAAGTCACATGTTCACATTTCAAACACTGATTGGTTAATATATGAGTCACCTGACAAACACCTCAATGGTTACAGATTCTTCCAAATACTAAAACACCATTTATTAAACACGACTCACACAACCTGATGTTATGAAGTAATTTCCCCCTGGGCTTATTAAAGTATGTCTGATTCTGATGTTACAGGATGTCTGAGGGAGTTTGTGGTTTTGTGAATTGTGTTTAATATTTTGATCAATTCTATTTATCAATTAGTAACTGGAAGAAAAAGTAAACAGTATTCAGACCTTTTACTTAAGTAAAAGTAATCTGTTAGTGAAAGTACTCTGTTAGTAAAAGTAATCTGTTAGTGAAAGTAATCTGTTAGTAAAAGTAATCTGTTAGTGAAAGTAATCTGTTAGTAAAAGTAATCTGTTAGTAAAAGTAATCTGTTGGTGAAAGTAATCTGTTAGTGAAAGTAATCTGTTAGTGAAAGTAATCTGTTAGTAAAAGTAATCTGTTAGTGAAAGTAATCTGTTAGTGAAAGTAATCTGTTAGTGAAAGTAATCTGTTAGTGAATATAATCCGTTAGTGAAAGTAATCTGTTAGTGAATGTAATCTGTTAGTGAATATAATCCGTTAGTGAAAGTAATCTGTTACTGAATGTAATCTGTTAGTAAAAGTAATCTGTTAGTGAAAGTAATCTGTTAGTGAATGTAATCTGTTAGTAAAAGTAATCTGTTAGTGAAAGTAATCTGTTAGTAAAAGTAATCTGTTAGTGAAAGTAATCTGTTAGTGAAAGTAACCTGTTAGTGAAAGTAATCTGTTAGTAAAAGTAATCTGTTAGTGAATATAATCCGTTAGTGAAAGTAATCTGTTAGTAAAAGTAATCTGTTAGTAAAACTAACTAGAACAGTTTCTTACTGGAGCTGCAGATCCTGAAACCAGCAACAGAATGAGCACCAACACAGACTGCAGCATCTCGACCAGCTGAGTCCAGCTGAGTCCAGGTGAGTCCAGCTGAGTCCAGGTGAGTCCAGCTGAGTCCAGGTGAGTCCAGGTGAGTCCAGCTGAGTCCAGGTGAGTCCAGGTGAGTCCACCTTTCTTCTGCTAGAAAACAAATATATATCATGTAAATACAGGTTGTTATTTATAAAATAATATAATTATAATTATTTTATCAATGAGATGCAAATTAAATGTCAATTTAAAATGACAATAAAGTCCATTTCTACCTATAAAAATCATTATTATTATATCATTAATATTATTGTTATTATTTTAATATTATTATTATTATTATTGTTGTTGTTGTTGTTGTTGTTGATAATATTTTCTCCCTTCTGTTTTTCTTTTACAGTATTTTCTCTTGTCTACGGAAGCCCTGAAAGACAGGTTGATTTTTTTCTCGTGATAATTTTTTATTTTTTAATATTTTTTTCCGTCTGTGAAAACAGGTTAAAAACATTTTAAAAAAAAAAGTTTAAAATATTTATATTTAAAAACCTGTTTTCACAAATGAAAAGTGATGATGAGAAAATGAATCCTCACTGGTCCCTCAGGGTTTCCGTACACTTTAGAGTTTATTAAAAACATTAAAGAGGAGAATGGTACAATACGTTTATAATATATGTATCATTTATATAATATACATTATTCAGTGTTCATTAGTTTATTTAAAGGACAGATTAAATAATAAAACCAATGACGTTAGCTTAGCTTAGCACAATGACTGTCTGTCAATGGGATCCGTTAGCATGCTTGTCAGGCTCTCTGACATCATTTCATCCCAAACGAGAAGAAGAAGTCGTTAATGAAAAGTTGCTGTGATTGGTTCTCACCTGGTGGGCGGAGCCACTGAACAAACACTAAAATAACTAAATCCTCGAAGAAAACGACGCTCGCCTGATCGGAAACATCCACCAACTGAAACTCTCTCTCTCTTCTCCTTTATGTCTCTCTCCCTCTCTGACTCACCTTACAGATCACAGGCCACGCCCACCTCGCCATCACTCGCCATCACTCGCCTTCTGGGGAAAAAAGGAGTATTTTAGGAGTCTGAGTTCCGCCCGGCGACAGAAAAATGTTAATGTTTAGGTTTGTGGAGAAATGACAGGCTTCATATGTACGAGTGTGTGTGTGTGTGTGTGTGTGTGTGTGTGTGTGTGTGTGTGTGTGTGTGTGTGTGTGTGTGTGTGTGTGTGTGTGTGTGTGTGTGTGTGTGTGTGTGTGTGTGTGTGTGTGTGTGTGTGTGTGTGTGTGTGTGTGTGTGTGTGTGTGTGTGTGTGTGTGTGTGTGTGTGTGATGTGGTCACTTGGATATGCTATATATGATCACACACACACACACACACACACACACACACACAGTGTATAAAACCAACAAACTGAAGATAAACTTTAGAAACCTTCTTTAAACTCTCAGCCAGCTGAATCCTACATAGAAACACACTACAACCCGATCACTGATCAATACACTGATCAATACACTGATTATTATAGAAACACATAGGAATCACTCGGATTCATCCATGATTAGTTTTAGTGGTAAAACTGAAATTATGGATGAATCCACTTTATTGATATAACAGAAGGTTTCCAAAGTGCTGCACAAAAAGATAAAACAGAATAAATAGATAACACAATAGAAGCACAATAAAAGATGAAGTACACAATAGAAAGATAAAAAGTTAAATGTTTCACTGTGTCGACTGAGAGGTGAAACTTTATGCTGTCTGTCAGTAAAGAGTGTGACAGGGTTAAATATCTGTGAACACATGAACCATAAAGCTTTGATTGATGGAGTTTGTCCTCCAGCAGCAGGAAGACGTCAAACATTAAAGAAACACTGAACACTCGACTGGAGTCTGCAGCACACACAGGTGAGTTCAGCACACCTGGAGCCTGATGGAGGAGTGTATGCATGAATGTGACTGTAGAAATGTTACACTGTGAACAATATTCACTGATAATAATAATAATGGATCAGATTTTATACTTTCCATTAACAGCAGTGCGATCAATAGTTTCACAGCTGATTATTGACTGATTGTCAATATTGTCCTCATGAATCGTCACTGCAGGAAAATAAAATGTATTTGTGTTTGAACATGTTTGAATGTTTTCTTTCAGGTTGAAACTGATTCAACTGTTGGAATATTTGAGCTTCAGGAAGACTGAGACGGATTTTACAAGCAGTTTAAAGTTCAGACTGTAAGTAAAGATTTTATCTTCCATCAGGTCACAATGTTGTGTTATAGTTTTATTGCCCCATGGGCTTCATAACGGTAATAAAGGGACAATAAGGTGATGATCAGAGAGCAAAGAGCAGCAGTGAACACAGTAAGAGTTAGAGAGTGAGGAGACCGTCTGTCTACCTCACATTGTTCATTATATTATATATTATACATTATTTCTGCTGGACGCTCACTGTTACTGTCTCTGGCATTAATTAAATAATTAATTCATGTCTGCATCATCTGAGAGCTCAAACATCACATTTACACTCAGTCACAGGAAGGAAGAGCTCACTTATAAAATCCCACAATGCACCACAGAGCGTCTCTCCTGCAGGCTGCTGATAGCGACGGTAGGAGAGGACAGTGATAATGGACACTGACTGACTGCAGGTTACTGTCCTATAGTCTTTATTTAGAGCAGGAAGTGAGGTCACTGCAGACTCATAGTGATAGCAGCTGTAAACTGGACCTCTGTTACTGTTAGAAACATTCTGCTCCAATGGTTGATCATTATGGTGTGTTTGACAGAAAGGTGAAGAGTTGCAACATGTTTAATATAATAAAGAGACAGTACACAGATAATAAACAAATAAACAGATTTATTGACTGAAATGAGTTTAACCCTTTCATCCATGAACAGAACTGAAGATTATTTTATTTATTTATTTTTTTAAATCTTTTTTAAAACAAACTGGGATTAGAAAGTAAAAACCCAGACGGGAATTTTGAGTCTATTAGATTATCTCTGTTTTTGATGAACTTTGTGATTTCTGTGTTATTTTGTGAAAACTTTAAAAGTATATCTTTGATTTAGACTGAAGAGTTTGTGTTCTTCTTTTTAAAACAAAACAACAAAAACCTGACTGACTGTTTTAAATGCCAGAAGAGAGACCTGCTAACTAAATGAAATAACACAAATGAGTCTGTTAAAGGACGGTTGCTATAGTAACCGGCTCATCGGTCCTGTTGGTGGTCTGACTGCACACAGTAAGAAGTTCCCAGTTGGCGGTTCCTCTGAGGAACCAGAAACCTTTCTATTTCTTTCCGTATGCTGAAGGTGAATCTGTGTTCTCTGTCGTTGTCAGTGTGTCACCATGTCGGCCGCCGGCTGCCAGCTGACTGAGGACCAGTTTCTGTGCTCCATCTGTCTGGACGTCTTCACTCTTCCAGTCACGTTACCATGTGGACACAACTTCTGCAAAAGCTGCATCACACACCACTGGGATGTTAATGTCTTCTGTATCTGTCCCGTGTGTAAAGAGCGCTTTGATATCAAACCTAACTTGAGCATCAATCATTTCATCTCTGACATGGCGAATCGGTTCAGAGAGTCTGCAGTAAACACAGCGAGCAGCAACCCGGAGCTACAAGTTGCCAAACCCGGAGAGGTCTACTGTGATGAATGTGTTGGAGCTAAAGTGAAGGCTGTAAAGTCCTGCCTGGTGTGTCTGACCTCCTACTGTGAGACTCACCTGAAGCCTCATTGGACCACATACGGTCTGAAAAGACATGAGCTGGTGGACCCTGTGGAGAACCTGGAAGGCCGAATGTGTCCGAAGCACAACAAACCGCTGGAGTTGTTCTGCAGGACGGACCGTACGAACGTCTGCATGCTCTGCAGCCTTTTAGACCACAAGACACACATGTTAGTTCCTCTGAAAGAGGAGCATGAGAGAAGGAAGGCCATGCTGGGGAAGACCGAAGGAAAGATGTATCGGATGATCCAGGAGAGGCGACTGAAGATTGAGGAGATTACACTCTCAGGGAAGTTAAATAAAGAATCTGCAGACAGGGAGATGGCAGTCGGGGTTCAGGTCTTCACTGATCTGATGCAGTTCCTTGAAGGAGGTCTGGCCGAAC